GTAGTGTCATCTCAAGCAAAATAGAAAATATGAAAATTACATCAAGGAAAGAGAAACATGCGAGTGTTATTCAAAAAATGTAAATGAATAAACACATATAATTTTTGTGGCATTAGATGTTTTCCAAGTGTAATTAAGTAAAATTAGTCTATTATTTTTACAATAATTTGCTACAACCTTAACTGCCTGACTTTATTTCGCAAGAGACCTATCTTAAGCAACTGTCACTATAAATTTTAATGGTAACGCTATACATATTATCTCTTCACAATCTTCCACCTTGAAAATACCTGCTGTCAAACTTCCAATAAATTGCTTCTGCTAACGACACGAGAAGGTTACCATTCACGACACGCCGGATATTTATAACTATGTATTTATTGCGTTCGAAACTAACGGATACACCTAAAGCAAAACCTCCATTTTGGGTGCACGAAATGAAAATTCAAAGATTAATGTTCCGAGCGTTTCATAGCCCACCAAACGCTCATGAAATATGAAATTAAACGCCACGAAATCGACGATAGATTTGTCCTTCGATACACAACTGCTTTTTAAAAATTTTCAGTGAGTGGGTGGCGACATTCGAGACAGAAGCCGAGAGAAACGTAAATGAGCGATCTCATGGTCGGGTCTTGGAACTGTGTGAATAATTCATGAAGGAAAAATTAACAGTCTATTCACACGTGAATGAAAAAGGAAACACAAAGAAAGCGCCAATTGGGTAAAAAGAATCTAACAGAGCATTGTCACGTAGAAAACGCGTGATAGCGATGAAAAATTAAGAAATATATTGCTGAAATATACGTGTCAATTTGTCCATGCTATCCAAAGTTTTATTGCTCGTGTGTGTATTTTCACCCTCAAAGTAGGGTGCGAACCCTAAGGAAAAAGTGTTATAATCCAAGGGAGCCGTGAAAGAAAATTTGTAACACAAAGAAATGAGTGTAACTTATCTCCTTCTAATAATAAATTGATCATTGGAACTTCACAATTGTTGGAATATATTTTTCTAGTGTCATCTTAGACGTTTCTGAAAATATTGGTGTCTATAAATCGAAACATAGAAATATTTTTAATGTGGGGTGCCGTGCAAAACTTTGGAAATCTGTGATCTATAATGTTCGATTATGAAACATGTATTAAAGGAGATGTTATTTCAGCGAGGCTATCAGGATTTATATGTATTTTTTGAAAAGAATAGGTCACGAATCAAACGCATACGTAACTGACGGAATTATCTCTAGGCTTGTACCGTGGTCAGAATTTATACATTCGAACGTCTTCTTCGGAATATCATCGAACGACCCTTCGCTGTTTTCGAAGAGTATTTTTATGCGAAGTCTACCGCGAGATATGCGAATACACAGGGGAGCGGGATTGCTCCAGAAAGTTGCGCGATTCAAAAGAATAAAGAAGGAACGATAAAGCTCACGACTTTGCGAAAGTTTTCCTTTTCCGGATTAAATATTGGCCAGAGACTGGGAGAGAACTTCCTACTCGTTGCTCGCTTTAAAAGTCCCAAAACACGTGAAATTCGTCGGAAATTCAAACTACACGCGTTTTTGCATGAGTCGGGTGAACTTCCACTAATTAAACAAATAAGAAAAGAGATTTGACAAGACGCGATTTTGCTTTCTCGGTGGGATTCTTTTCTCAATTTTAACAGATTGTTGACCGGCAATTTTAAACAGAAGCGAATTCATGTCACCGGCTATTATTTCGTAATTGAATGTGGTAGAAACTACTGAGTGATGTAAACCTAAATACAGAGAAAAGTATATTCTATTCTTAAAAAAGCATAAAAAACCTAGAGGATTAAATACGTTGAGCAAAGTTTTTGCAATATTCTATATCGACCTGGGTTTCATAAATTGAAATAGATAATGCAAATGTAAACACGACTCTCGTGACCGGTCAAGCAACGTTTTGCCATAAAAACAGAGTTAACTCGTAACCGGTCAACAATGCGTTAACGTCAATACAGAATATATCGTACGATGTATTTACTACGATACATTACTCCTATTGCATACAAGTTACGAGTAAAAAAATTTATTAACGAGCGCAACGCTCGGTTGGCATCGCGTTACGAAACACAATGGGGTTGAAACAGTATTAAATCGAGTCTCTTTAAGTTCAAGCTCACCCTAAAACAGGTCATCCATTTAATTATGCATCGTTTACTTTTTCTAGGTAGTTCGTTTCGGATTATCAATTTTTTGCAGAATTCTTCCTTGAAAAATCGAGCATGCACCGTTCCAACATCGAGGTAATATATTTTGACGAAATTAATGGCCCCCAGTGTAGTATAGTGTATTATAGTCTCATCGGGGTTCTGATCGTGCTCGGTATAAACTGGAATCGCGCGTGATGAGCAGTGTAATGTCCCTTTGTCTGGTGACAGACGTGCTCGTGGATTTTGCGTGGGCAACGCGTGGGCGGCTTTACACGCGGACACGACCGGTTCGACGAACGTACGATTACGTAGCATTACACTTTGCACGTTTGTACGTTCGTCACTTGAGAGCATCGCTTAAGTTTCCGTATCTGCTGAGCCATAAGGTGGAGTGAAGTGACTTTCATGCGACACCATGCGACAAGCGTCTCCTTCCAAACATTGCCATAGCTGCGAGCACTTGTCGCTAAGCAAATTCGTAACTCGGAATTTTGAAACCAACACGTGCTTGACTCGAGCGAACATCGATTTGAAAGTCAGATTTAATTCATTGCTCAATTAGTTTGTTATACTCGTACCTTTACATTGATTGTGTTACGCCACTGCATCGACACTTTCACAAAATCCTTGTACCAATGTATTGATGGATTCGCACGGTTACAAAGACACCTCTACTCCGTTATATCGACGATATAGCATCAATCGTCGATATCGTTACATGGGTATGTTTGGAAGAGAGTTGCGCACTCGCAGATGGCAGAAAAGCTTAACGGATGGAAACAATACGTCTATGACCTGAATATTCTTGCTCGTTGCATACTAAATGCACTTTCGGCGTGCAACGAGTACCATAAACGACTCATTGTACCACTGAAAGCATCCATGCGGATATAATTCAGTCAGAAAGTTGCCACAACGAATAGGCAAAGATAGGAAACGGAACTGTTTCAATCTGAAATTAAAATATTCTGGAGAAACTAGTGGTGCGGGTAATGGGGAATTTTAAGGGAAGTTCATCAACGGTGTCGATCGTTCCTAGCACTTAAGGGTGTAACAAAGGGCGTGTGAGTCGGTTCGACAGGTTGATTAAAGCACCAACGACGTTGTGTGCGAGAATTAACCGACACGTGTATGTTTACTTCACGGGCGAATCCACTATGGAACTAATGAAGCTTCAGCTTCAAGACGTCACGTAGAAGAGACTACCTAGATCCTTGTTTCTTCATTTTTTAATTAAAACAACTAGTTGTAAGCGAAGAAGAGAATTCCTTTTTGTTCTTGAAAAATGACGTGATAAATAAGCAAATCAAGATTATGAATAAAAATTGACAAGGGAACAAGAAGAAACTTTTTTATTACATATAGGATTGGACTAGATCCATAATTTAATTAAAACTACTATCTGTAAGGAATGGAGAGAATTCCCTTTTGTTCTTGAAAAATGGCATGATAAATAAGCACCTCTAAGTTAAGAACACAAATGAAAATTGACAAAGGAACAAGAAGAAACTTTTTACTACATATAGGATTGGACTAGATCGACCATTGGTGTACTCACAGAATCGAATCTCCGTTCAGCAGGGGTTGAAAGCATCTACTGCACGTAACGTGTATGCAATTGCGCCATTAGTAACTTTGTGCTACGACCTACGGACTATCACTCGTAGCAAGTGAAGTGGTGCAACCGAGAACGAAGTAATTGAACTTGTAGAAAATTGGATTCCGCGTGTATTAACATTGTACGAGCTAGAGGGATCGGTGCCACCGTGGAGTATGTACACGATATCGTGTAGTTTTCCAATAAAAAACAGATCATCTATTCGACAGGGTGTACGTGTACAGGTTATGCGAGATTATTCCGCTCAACATCAATTTCCTACGTGGTCATAGCGCGCCGGATCGATCGGTCCGGTGGAATTAAAAATTGATGGAAAACAAGATTACCGCGGAGGCGGAAAAATTCTTAAATGTCTTACGACAGTCGCTGAGGGATTCGTGTGTTCGGGACATTCCTGAGTGGAGTACCCGATGGCTTTCGAATGGAAAACCAATTAGAAGAGCAATCGTACTTCCAGGCAACCGAGCAACTCGGTGATCTGAACTGGGGGATTTAAATAACACTGTCGCTTGTTCCTTGCCCTTGAATTGGATAAACGGAGGTAACTCCGGCTTACCTTACTGCGTGGCGTTCTGTCGAGGAAGTCGTACTGATCCTCCATCGAGTAAGGAAACATGCACGAGAGAGTATCGTATGAGGTGATATTGCATAACGTCTCTGATACCTCTAATTTTTGTTTAATCGAGCTGAGTATTCGATAACTAAATTGTATAAAGATATCTCCTTGATCTTCTTTGGTCCCTCACTTCGATAAAGTAACCCTTTGCACTCCTAAGGCCACCTGTACTGAACTTGAAGGCGTTCTACGTCCAGTGCCACTGCCCACAATTTATCGTTAAGTTTTGACATTAAACCTACCATGACAATGGAACATATGAATTATACACAATTGTTTCATGCATTATTCAATTTATAATATAATTCTATAATTATACAATATAACAAACTGCAAAGAGTTTTTCGTGGCAGTTGAGTACCTCTAAATTGCTTGAAGTGCAAAGAGTTAATTAGTATCGAGATTAATAATTCTTGCTTTCTCTTTCCTTTCTCGTGGTACTCGTTATTAAGTAGCAGACTAAAAAAAATGGAAGAGCCGTCTACCTTTCCGAAAACAAAATTACACGGAAGCGCTTGTCACGTAGCACCACGACGGCGACGACCAAAGCAATCTGAAATCAATGGAATCGACTTTCGGCGACTTACCCGTCGGTGTTGTGCGTCAGAAAAGATTTCGGCAGAGACAGCGATCGCTGATGAGGGTCCAAACAAATATCTCCTGGCAGGGAATCGTCCCCTCTCGTGGGAGCACTTCCAGGCCTGGACAGCATCCCATCTCTCGGCGGTTCCATCAGCGTCTTCAGGGAGCCAATCACCGCGTCCTCCATCGGGGTGGATGCCCCGGAACTTTTCGCGTTCCTCGGACTCTTCGTCACCGTTCGATCGGACGTGGTGACCCAAATATCGCTGCTGGAAGACGACGAGGTGGTCGACGACGATACAACATGACCACTGGGCGATCGGTTCACGATACCTTTCCCCTGCACCGGTGACACTTTTCTGTCCTTGTTTTCGCAACCTTCGAAACTACCGGCGAACTCGGGTTTTCTATAAAATCGTTGATGCTCCCTCTTCTCCGTGGTCGTGGTATTCCCATTGGATCCTTCGAGCGGCGACCATCGATTCGGTTGCTTCAGCACGCTCTTCGGCTGCCTGTCCTGATACTTGGACGAGTTGGAATTATTTTGATCGCGATTACCTCGATTCCTGCGCGACGTTGTCTCGCGATCGCGGTACTCGCGTTCGTCCATTCGCTCTAACGAAGCTGGGGACGAGCTGGCGCTTCCTCTGCTCGCGTGGCCACCGGTGTCCGTGGGGAGTCGCTGATGGGCAGGATAGCTCTGGGACAACTTCATGAATACAGGGGCCTGACTGGGAGAGTACAGCGTGTCTCTCTGCGAGCAGTGCGGCCAGAAGTCGCAGGTGCTGCTGTTGCAACGCAATTTCGTGTCAGGGCTGACGCAGAAGTCGTGGTTAGCCGTCGCAGGATTCGCGTTAGGGGTAGTCGCGCCCCTTTGTAGAGTCTTCGGTCGTCTGGACTGTTGCTGCTGCTGCTGCTGCTGCTGCTGTTGTTGTTGCTGCTGCTGCTGCTGCTGCTGCTGCTGCTGCGATTGTTGCATCGACGAACCGGCCGATTTCAAAGACTGCTGCATCGATGATATAAAGTAAACGTCGTAAGTGCTCGGATTCCCTCGCCTTTGCTCCTGACTATCCTCCCGGCGATCAAAGCGACTGGGGTGGAGATTTCTGGCCACCACGCGGCTTCTCGTTCCGTATAGAAACTCGGTTACCGTCTCCGTTTCACGGAGAAGATCTTCGTTCAATGCGTCCTCGGTCGACTGTGCTTTTCCTGAGAAACACCCACGAACAAGGTACATGTAGCAATAAACGAATCGTGCGTCCTCTATAAAACTACAGAATGGGATACATGCAATCAGTCCCATAAATATTCGTACCTAAGAAATCTGTCTAAGGTTTGATGTTGTAAAGTTTATTCATGTACATATTTACAACGAAATACTTTTTTGAAAATATCAAACCTATCATTTAATTTAAACAGATTTCTTTAATAGACATACAAGGTACGAATATTTATGAGCCTGAGTGTATGTATCAATTTCATGTTTTATTATTCAGTGCATGCTTTCAAGTATATAGTAGATATAGAAGAAATTAAATATATCCGATAATCTAACTGAATATTCCGAATATCGCATGTCACAATGGACTATAGTTACTTACTTTATTCGTTTGAAAGTGAATTGTATCATTGAGTCATAATTAAATTAAGTCTATACTACATGGTAACGTAACATGAAGGTCAATTAGAATTGTCCATATAATAATCTTAAGTGGTTCAAGTTAGAATAAACACACATATATATATAAAAGTATACATGTACATGAAATGTAAATTTAATTAACATACATGATTCCACACTTTCAGATAAACCGTGTTTTCATGGAAGATTTAATAGACAGGGTCGAAAACGTATAACACTGCTTGAATAGAATTAACAGATGTGTTAATAACTGAGCAAATAATTCACATCCAATTAGGTATCGAAGCGAATGCTCGCAATATATCGCCGATCAAAAAAGATTTAACGATAACACAAGCAACAAACATACGAACGGGTGATACGTACTGTTTTGAAGCGTGTGGCGTTTCCTATCGTTTCCTCGGTCATTGGAAATTTTAACAACGACTCTATGGGGCTCGTTAGACTCCCTCGAGTGGTCTCTGCTCGGAGCCGCGGTGCCGGGAGACCTCTTCTCGGGTAATTGAAGACTTCTGGATCTCCTTACTTTAGATTGATGAGATTCCGGGGACACCTGCGCCGTCCTGGCGCTCTGATGTTGCCTCGAAGGGTTGCCGCGTCTAAAAGGATTTGGCGTCGGTGATCTGCCCTGCCTCTCGGCGCTGCTCGACGACGAGGACGAGGAGGAAGGTGAATTAAACGACAACTGCTTTCCGGATTCCGACGAGCCTGGCGATCTCCTCAATCCCTGTTGGCTTCTGTGGTGACGGCTCTGCCTGTTCGGCGAAATTCTCTCGCCGTTCGCGCGGATCGACTCCGTGGACGAGTTCAACGCTATGATCGAGGACGAGACCAAACTGAGATTCAAGGAGGAGCTGGGATTGTCGTCCTCGTCGCCGTCGTCGTATCCCTCCACCGAGGAGTCCGTGTTCTCGGCCAATCTGGGCATGGTGGCCCTCGTGACGCAGCTGTCCAGACTCCTGAAGCCCATCGACGAGGAGGACGAACTCGAAGACTCCATATAACGCTGAATAAACTGCGATCTCCTCGTGGAGGATTGATCCTCCAGCGATTTAGCTTGCGCCATTCGATACTGCTGTTGTTGTTGCTGCTGCTGCTGTTGCTGCTGCTGTTGACTGGTGTTCTGCCTTCTGGGCCTGGATGGCGCGTTCGACGATTTCCGAGAGGAAGACGGCAAGGAACTCCAATTGATTTGACGTGGCGGCGACGGAGGCGGGCTGATGATGTCGCTGTCCACTATGGCGTTCGATCGCGGCAAAAACGGCTTCCCGTAGTTGCCACGGCCGGAAGAGTGCTTCGAGGAAGACCTTTTACCGACCACGTCTTGAAAGGCTGGTGGAGGTGATATGATCGGGGTGATCGACGGCGGGGAGTAAGATTCCGGGATACTGTGCGGCGATGTGCAAGCGCTGCTCGCCACGTACTCGAAATCCTGACCGTGGAGGGCCAGATAGTCCGGCCTTTGACTGTCCAATCTCGAAAATTCTTGAGGGCATTTCCCTGGCTCGCTGTTGCAATGGTAGTCAGCCAATTTCACCGTTGCCCGACGCGGTAGGGGTAGAGTGCCCGTGGCTGCGGTGACCAAGCTGCTCTCGTAACTTATCCTTCGATTCTCGTCCAGAGACCTTTGTTGTACCTGGACCCAACCCGATCGACCCAAATAGACCCCGTCCACCTCTCTGTCGCACCATCTCACCGGCGACAATTCCCTGCTGCAGTCGCCGCTGATGAAAAGTTCGCCGGAAGTGCCGCTGTTACCCGACAGGAACGAATTCGAGGATTCCCGACGACGCGAACTCGTCACCTGTCCGTGGAAGTTCATCGGTAGAAGTATGGAGTCCTCGAAACACTTTAGGTGGCTTCAAACTTTTTAACAAGAGCTACCAGGGGGGGGGAGATTTTCAGACTCTTCTTCTCTTCAACAAATTTTACTCGCAACGGGCGCGCGAATGTAAACGAGTTTTTTTTCCGGGGGAAGTCCTTGATGCGTCGGTGCTCGCGGTGCGTTTTCACGTTTAAGTAAAATGAGTTTATAAAATTTAACGGAGAATCTTGGAACATTTAAAGCGAAAGTTTACGATAGGATCGAGTCAAAGACGAGTCTCAAGCGAAATAGAGAATAATAAAACGAATTCTTTTTTGTTGTTTTACTTGCCTGTCCGTGGCTCTCCTGTCGATGTTGTTTTAAACTCGAGCTCGACGATATCGATGCCGTAGCGTCGTGACGTTTTAAGGATGGTATTGAAGTGCAACGTGTGTACGAGCCGCGTGTGCTACCGCTTGATTTTCCTCTGCTACCGGTTTGGCTTTTATTACTGCCCACGCTGTACGTGGATCCTTGAGAACCCACTTCCCAAGGATCGGAAGTGCTGCGTAAGTGCAGAATCGACACGTTCGGACCTCTGCGAAAATACATTTGTTTTCGTGTTACAGTGAATTGTACATCGAAAGTCTTCCACGAGAAAGTGTATCGAGTGGAAGATGGAACTGCGGGGCTCTCTGGTAACTTGCGATAGACGATGGACAATTGAATTGAAAGGAAAACATGAAATTTCAGTTTGGTCAATTCGTAAGTTTTTTTAACAAAAGAATTATCCAAGATAGATCTAGAGAATACCTATTTTTCATAACGTGAAAATGTGTTCTATTTCGCGTAAAATATTTGTTCAAGCTCCAAACTCGAATGCTACAATCGATTTGAAGTCCAATTCTTCATCGACCCGGTCTGACAATGCACTTTCACTTCTTCTGAGACCTTCTCGAAGCAGAGAAGCCGCAGAAGGGAAACAAGACGCATTTATCCGTGAATACTTGGAGTTTACCCTCGAGAAAACTACCCTCACAGATCGGTGCGGCTACAATACATACAGACGGTCTACGATTTGTATTGGCTGAACTCGATTTGAAGAGGTTGTTGCACCGTTGCATTCTGAATGCGGTGCTTTTCTCCCTTCGTCTCGTACAATTTCCCAGTATAAATATTCATTGAGAGTACGTGGCTAGCGATATAGATATCGCGAGATAGAGGGAAAGCAAATAAAGATGTCACAGGGGGGGAAAGAACGTAGGGAAACGAGGACATTGCATCCATCTTGCTTCGAAATTCCTGCAGAAACGGGACTTCATCCACGATTCTAAACCACCGCGCGATACCACGCGAGTTGGTATACGCGGTGAAAAGCCGGTAAAGCACGAATCAAGGTAAAACGAATTCGTCGAGGTTTTAGATTCCGGTTAAAATAAACGCCTTGGCTATACTTCACGGAACACGGATACGCTTACAATTTAATCGTGATTAATAGCACGAGCGGCTCTTCTTCTTCCTCCCTTCCGTCTAATCATGTATATTAATGAAGAACCGAAACGAACTGATTAAACGGACACCTTTATTTTCGAAAAGAAATTTTTAGTTCGTTAACCGTTTCAACTTGAATTAATTTTTTTTTCTTGTCTAATGGAATTTAATTTTTAGGGACAATTTGGATTAAAATTAGTATAAAAAAGTAAGGACATTTGCCCTAAACGATAGTGTCAGTAATTTTTAAATTTTGTGTCCTCGATTTTGAACGCCAGATGTGAAAGGGTTAATAATAAATGTATTCCAAGAAAATTGAACTACTATATTCTACAACTATTATTATTTCGTATGAAAGTCGAGAGGTTCCAAGGGAGATATTGCATAGTGATGGTGAGTTAGTTTTATGCGGGGTGATTTTACGAACTGGGGCGCACTTCAGTTTCTAGCTAGGTGAAGTTATAAGAAATGGGTTGAAGAAACTATTGCATGATTTATCGAGATATAGTTTCTTTAGATCATATATATTCCAGAGACACAAGAGTGTAACTTCCGCGGATTGCTGGTGCAATATTTTTCGGAGTGGAAGTATAAAGTTTTTCGCTGGTCGTCGTAAACTTTTACCTCATACATACGATATTACAAATTGTGCAAGGAAGACGACAAATAAATGAGTCGTTTATTGCACAAATCAATTAACTTCATAAAACGAAATGTTGAGAAATACGATGAAATTATGTACATCGATTTTTAAAATTTCTTTTATAATATAAATTCAAATAAATAATTTAAAATGCATAAATACAGATGTAGCTTTCATCTAACGGTATATAAAATTAATAAGAAAGAATACCCAAAAAATAATCGTGAGTAATGTCACAATTTTTATATGACTGTGCAGTGAACGGCTCAAATAAAAGTAAATAAATAATACACTGGTCATCTTCAGTGACAGATAAAAATTATGCAAACGTCAACGTTCATTGAAGATGCAAACAATCGAAATGACTACTAATTTCATTTTATAATGTATTCGTGGGTCGAGTAAAAGAGCACGCTCTGCACACACGTAACGGAACAAGTTTGGGATGATTCTTGTCGTTAATGGCGAGTTCTCGCGGAACACGAATTCCGCGGCACGAAACATTTAAAATGTTTCGCAAAGCCGCGAACCGATTGTAAATTCCCGAACGTTTCGCGGTTGGAAGTAGGTCGCGAAAGAAGTTTTCGAAATGAAATCTGCTATGCGTCTAGCGAGTGAATTTCGGTACGTCGGCCGTGACAGCTCGACACTTCTGTAATTCACAGGCGTCCCTCTACCGTTTATCATTAATGAATCTCGGTGAATGCAGTCGGCGACGCGAGGAAAGAAGACAACGGCGCAAGAATAACCTTCCGCCGTAATGATTCATAAAAGAAGGAGCAGCCAGGGAAATGGAATTGTTGGCAAGATTCGAATCGCGCCCAGAGTGGTTAAAACACTGGAAGAAAATGACATTTCAATCTCCCAAATGACTCGATTCATTTCGAGATTGTGTGCCACACACTCACGGCGCAAAAATTCTTAGACCAGTAATAATATCGACTGACTGGAAACGTTCCAAAACTTGCAAAATTGTCAAACTTTGTACTTTGTTCATAATGTCAATCCACGGTTGCCAAAACTAACGAGCAGTTAAGTTACTTAATTTATGCTTCGTTGATATACTGTGCTCATATTTGAATTATGAAATAATTGTATTCAAAACGAATATGTGAAAAAACCAAGACCAAAATCAGTAAAATGTACGTGTTACTTTTTGACGAGACACATACAGCTTAAGTGAAAATGACAATTAAAAATTGGTGCAGTTTCTGTATCTCTCACTGTGATACGCAGATTCGGTATCGACTGATAGTGCCCGTTTTATTTTCAGCGCAGAAAGGAGAACGAACGATATTCTTTCTGATCCATTTCAAGGTTTATTTGTAGCCAGACGAATGTCCATATCCCTGAATACATTATCCTGTAATTTATTTCACTGTGGATATCACACACCGAATGTAACCATATTTCTGGACGATCGTATCGGAAACTCCTGATATAGGTGTCCCGGATTAATTATATTTACCTTTTAACAGACATCGTCTGCAGGGTAGCTGGCTTCCCTCAGTTTTCACACCTGGATTAAGATCACTCTTGCGCGATAAATTAGATACCACGTGTCACATCAAGTATCACTTCGTTAACGAAGATCGGTGCACTGTCATTTTAAGACTGGATTAAAGTTCGCGGTGATGAATTCATACAATATTCACATCAGTGTTTTTAATGGATTTCGTATTAATAGTCTAGACTATTAGAAGTTACTTATTGTCGAATCGATAGATTATCCTCCGTTGTAAGTAACTATATTTAGTGTAAAATGGGGAACAAGGTAGAGTAATAACTTGGTTCGAATGTCTCTTTCAAAATGTCAACTTGTGTTATGCTTACACGAACAACGCGTAATCATGTAATGCTTCTCTGTCAGTTAGATCGTTTGTGGATACATTAGCGTAAAAGGGTCCATCTCTGTTGACGAAGAACTCAGACGTATCATTTTGCATTAACCGAATTGGATATAACACGGAATAAATGAAAACTGACGGTGTAATTTTCGTTGGAATATGCAGAAATGATTAATGCATGTCTAGGAAAGTGCGAGTCTTTTACATTGCGTTATCAAAAAATTAGATGTATTTCGTTAGATTGAACTTTCAAACCTGCTTCGAAAAAAATATACTTATGCTTAACGATTCAGTTAAATTGAAACCACTTCATATATTTGAAATATTTTTATCTTAACCCTTCTGTGTCATCGTATTAATCAGATGTCGTAATCGTCTGTATATCGAATCCAGAAACGTAGGCATCCAAATACGAACGAACCTACCACTCAACCTAATAGATTCGAAGAAAGCGAACCGGTCGCTTTTTCGTAACCCCGTCGAGCTCGGTAAAACTTATTCGAGGGAACTAATTAACCGTATAGGGAGTTCGGAAAGAGCTCTAGGAACTATTCGGCTCCCTCCATCGTTTCCTCGTTGAATTTTGCATTCGCGTGTGTAAACAAGTTACGCTCCGCGGGGAAGCACCGAGGGCAGCAGAGACCGATGCAGGAAGCCGTCGCGTCCTTTCATTGAACTTCATGAAAGTTGCATCGCATGTAACCGTCGTCGAGGACTGCAAAAAGTAAACACCGGAGACAGAAAGAGAGAGAACAGACCTAAACTCAGCAACGATCGAATTAATTTTCTTTTTACCCGACCGATATCAACCATACCCGACCGCGGTATTAATCCTACGACCAACCACGCTTTTTGCAGCATCGATATTCCCATGGAACGAATATTTCTCGTTACGTGTTCCACCGTGCCGATTTCGCGGTAGCCATTCGAGCCGTTCGTAATAAAAGTTAAGTCCATTTATCGAGCCGATCCACGAAACTGATACACGAAAAATGAAATTTGTTTAGAGTTACGAGCATTGCTAAAGAGTGGAGGACATAAGGTGGGGCTACAGGGCCTTGAACTCCCTCTCCATTGGCTAAAAGAATGTGCTAGATGAATTTCATGTAAAAATAGAATGTTTCCAGATCTTCTCAAGAATAATTATTGTTCGAAAACGTAATAGCGAACACAGCCAGTAGCAATTGAGGAAATCGGATTTGTACAGTATAATTTAAAGTTCTTATAAAAATTAATTTACTTTTCCCTTTAAAAATAGTACTGAAATTCTTGCAGTGTTCAGGATTCAGAAAAATCTTGATTCGACCAACCGAATTTTATTCGTCATAGTAATAAGAAAATATTCCCCTTGTCGGCACTGAAACGTCTTCATAAATAAACTCAATATTTGTACAGGAACAGACTTACACTACATTCTTAACGAACGGCCCGTTCGTCTATTCCTGCCTGTCCTTTTTTGGCCCTCTTGGCAAGTCGAACAGAGCGATCGACGAGCGGACAACGAACTCCGCGAAGCCCACGTAAAAAATTCAAGAGAGATCGACCGCCGTAAGAATAATTTCCCAGTTTTTTAATACCCGACCATTTCTATCCACCTCGTCATCAAGACCTAAACGTTGCCATATCGCTGACAATAATCCTAATCCAAGACAATCGCGAACCACCGGAACCTCAGCTGCAAAGCAATGTGTCTTCGGTAGAGGTTTCGATTCGCGACGACTCCTCGTTCGAACAAAAGTCCTCAGGCCGAGGCGGCTCTTCAGAGAGTCGCCAACCACAGAACACAAACGCACGTGCTCAACCACCCACACACACACAGATGTAACACATGGACAGGAAAGTGCGTGGTTAAAAATCTTCATGCGAGATGCAAATCGTGAGTTAAGAGGGACTCGTTAAAACCGAGTTACGAATTCGTGAAGAGAAAACTGGAGGAGAGAAAAGGGAAGAGGGGAAGAATCGTTGGAAGCTCTCCCTCTCGAGCGTTTTTCTGCGTTGTAAAAAAAGACGCGGGGGACACGTTACCGCGGAAAACAGAAGAAAAAGGCGGCAGGAATACGCGCGTTACCTGTCGCCGCGGGAGCCGCCGGCCGTATTCGAGATGTCGGTTGAATCCGCGGCTGGACTGACTCTACGAGGCGGCAGGACGGGAGCAGGGGCCTGGCTCGAGGACGAGGACGAAACGGGCCCTATGACGCCCACGTTGCCCCCACGTACCCCGTCCTCGGCCGAATGTTGTCTGCTCGAGGATTGCGAGCTCTGCGACAGCCAACGCCGCCCTGCGCTTCTCGTTGTTCCTCCGGAACCAGCCGTCTGATGGGACGCCGCACCTCCGCTGTCCAGTGACGTGCTCTACGAACAGAAATTCAAATTTCCAGTATTGGAGATGGGCTATAACGAAATAATATTAGGAGGATCAAAGAGTAATAGGTATATTCCATTTTTTCCATTGTAAAAAAATCCTATGACACGTCAACGTTGAACAGCTGTAAATATCCGAATGAGTTGACAGATCTACATGTATCTCCACACGTGTTCATCATTTTATCACTAAAGCATCACAAATAAGATCTTTTCTCTACGAGGAGCTGCTCAACTGACGAATGTTATAAAAAAAGAAGGTAGAAAGAATTTCTAGCAGTATACACTGCAGTTTTGGCAGGCCATATCCTAAACTTTCTCTTCTCCTATTCTGCAGCGATAGACGTTTGCATGGTGGCCATTTTCAACACCTACAAATCACTTTTAGTTGCGATCGCCTATTATTTCCATCGCTCGCGTTTTCCTTTGATAAACTTCCAGCATAAACTTCAAAGCGGCTATACCTCGAAAACAAAGAATTTGATATACTATCCTGCGATTTGCAATTTACTTGTGCAGACGCTACGATTTAAAAGCGGAATTTTAACTAAAATTCCAGCATCTTCAGGAAGCAGAATTTAAATAAGAGATTCCAACCACCCCTCCTCACGAGGGTAAAATTGAGTTTTTCAGAATCTGTTTCCGCACGGTGCGCAAATTACTCTTTTATAAGCTTCGTCCTGACTCCATTCTTTGATAAGAATCTGCGGGCTGTTAAGCAGGAAGCAAACTCGTTTACGCAGTTCGTTTGCATGCTATTGTTTGCCTCGGTGTGGATGATATTTTAATAATGTTTTCTCTCCGACTTCTCGGACACGGCGATTACATCCACAATGGGATTTCGTAATCGATACTCCCTTAACGCGGTAGCCTGGGTGCGGTTAGAAGGATGGCGATGCATTTGGCGTTTCTTCTCGAGCATTTTCAATTATTCCTTTGACGGGCGACTAATCGATTCGGCATGGACTGTCGCTTCGAGGTTGCTCATAGGTCTCGTTTTTCCATCCCCATCTCATTCGATCTCTCCCTCTCTCTCTCTCTATATATATATTTTTTTTTTCCAGCTCTTATTTTCCCTTCCCTGCCCGATGGCCAATGGGAATCGTTCCTGGTGAATCGAGGATTCGCATTCTTCGAGATTCAAGAGTCGCTTCCAGCGAATCGCCGCAAGATTTCTTAAGATTCGAAGAAAATCGAGATGCCGGCGTTTATTACCCTTTTTTACCTTAATTAATTGCGCCCGATGGTCTCCTCGAAAACATTCTTCTGGGCTCGATCGACCGAACATGGCTCGTTTTGCAATTACCGTCGCTTTAAAAGGGAAATCATTTATCCAGAACGACACTGTGTTGGTGAAAACATCAATTACCGAAACTTTCTTGCAAGTAAGTTATTAAGGAACGAGACGTTACAAATTAATTCCGCGATGGTGGCTGGTTGAAGGTAACGCGAGGTTGCGTCCATACGTAGTTACTGTTCGTATGATTGTATCTAGAACCGGTAACGCCAGTAATCAGAAACGATAGATTAAGATCGTACAAAAGAGATTCGCTACGTTTCCTAGGTACTATATGGTGCTAATCGTAAATGCTAATCATAAATCGAATCGAATCATAAGAAAAGTCAGAATCATAAGAATAGGTAAGAAGCCTACAAGAAGAAATTCATCAATATTTTTGTATTTAATTAAAAAAAGTTTCTCTAAGTCATTGTCCTATCACGGCAGAAATAGTCACAAATGAACGTCAGTAGGTTTAGTGTTAATTTGAGTAGCAGTAGTATACGGATATTTAATAACCCTACAAAATCAGCCATTTATTTCTAAGTTTGACTATTAATTATGTATGTAATTGACTGAGGAATAATTGAGAAACGATGTAAAATTCCTCTAACGGAGGATCAAGAAGAGAAAAAACCAATACTCCATCCAGAAGAGCCAATCCACGAGCGTCGATTGCATAAAAGCATTCTTGAAAGTTTCCTGAGCAGCGTGTCGGTGAGCACCGTGACACGAGACGGACTAAACTCGCAACTACGCGCAAGGAGAAGGCTGCCGCTGTTTCTACTTCCAAATACGGACGAGGCGCGAGAGACTGGCTACGCAACTCCTTCGATGAAAGTATTTTTATTTTCGTCGTGAAGAACCCGTCTCCGACCAGCGATCTGTCGAGAATCGAATCGGCCGCGCCTCGACCGCGTCGCGTTACTTTGAAGCGCCGATCATATTCAGCGATTAATTGCTCTCGTTTTCTTCTCCCGGCTCGGAATTGGCGCCGTTGATAAGAAATATGAGAAATCCGGGCCGCGGCATCCATGTTTTATTACTTGCAAAACAGATTTCTTTCGCTCGAGACGTTTGTTTACCTAACGTGGAAAAATTGAAATGACCTCGCGACGTGAAAGAGGATAGAAATCAGCGGGAATATGTAGGTCAACGCGATCGCTCAGTTGCACCGATCGGAGTTGTTTATACACTTTGCCAGTGGATGCTCCGAACGGTCAACTATGAATTTAACATTTCTCCATACATCCTAGTTCTGTGTAATTAAGCCCGGATGTAGATTTAGATACAGGGGATGATCGTTGAAACTGGGTCGAGCTGTATAAGGTGACTGATTCGTTCCAAGTCGAGTACTTACGTTTAAATGGTTCTTCCTGGATGTGACCGACGAGTCCTGCGAGGACCCTCTGGAGTAATGTCTGGAAAAGACCTCGGCGAGCCTGGATCTCCCCGAGCTCGTCGTGTTCGATTTGGATTTATTCGGCGGGGATTCGTCGACCGTTTTGGCCAAATTTGGATTGCTGCTCTTGCGCTCCGGAAAAACTAAATGCTCGATGTTTGGCGTGTATCCAGGATCGCTTCTCACGATATCCTGCAGGGTCACGCGGCCTCCGGCGCTCGGTCCTCCGTTACTGAAACAGTCGAAAATGGCAATCTCTTTTTTAGCCATTTCTCGGCATTGCGACGGATGCGGCGCAAAGGTAAAGTTAAATACGCCTAATTCCGACACTGGCCCAGTTGTCGTCGCAGTCGCATATTTTTTAGCGACCCTCTACCGTCTGGATTTTATTTCATTTTTCGAAAATGAAGGTATTTCTCGACTACTTATATATTCAGGAATCAGATGATGCTGAATATTGGGCCCAACGATAAGTGGCTGCAGCGGTGCCATTAACCTTTTACACTCGGATGTCTCTTCCGAGGGGACATCGTAAGTTCAGGCGAACTGTATTAGGAATTACACAGGATAAACTTATGGGAGCGTAAATGTGTATGATTTCTTGAAGATTTCTATTCGAAGCTATGGTATTTTTTTACCTCATATGCGTTTGTGAAACGATGGTTCGTTGCCTTCAAATATGAAATACAACGTTAAACTTTATCCAGCGCCGAGATAATCACCCTGGAGACACGCGTCTGGCCCTGGGGTGTCAGAAATCTTCTCGCATGAAAAGGAATTTTGCGAAGGGACGTCGAGAAAGGCGGGTGCGACGTGAAAGCATAAAAACAACGTTGCCAGGAACAAAGGGGAGGATTAAACAAAGAAGGGGCAAAAGTCGGATCGCTAAAATGCATCGTGAATGCAATGTCGCGTACGTCGACGCGTGTAATGCCAGCTTAAAAGGGTTAATTATGCAAACCCACTGAAAGCCACTGATAGTTCGCTGTCTCCTGGTATTTTTCCCCGAGATTTTCTCTTCCTTTCGGCGGGACTCGTCAAAGGCGATGAAAAAAGACAGGAAACGGTCGACTGGTAATCAAAATGTTGGCGGCAGACCGCCCTGGGGATTTATTGTAGCCGGGAGTGTAATACTCAAGAATACGTGAAAGCGACAAGGAGAAAATACGACGCGTGAAGATGATTTTCATTGCGATGCGTCTATTTTCTTTTAAATAAATGCGTTCGATAAGTTAGAGGCGTGGACCCAATTGTTCCACGTCGATATTTATGAAAGATAGAGTACTGAATAATAATAGACAAGCAATTGATAAACCGAAAGGATGAAAGTATCAAAAATGACGGAAGTTCATAACTGGACTCACCTACGCGATCTGTGTATATTTAATACTTGATACTGAAATCTTTATCTCAACATCTCACATACGATCGATACAGGTTACAAAGCGAGTATTGCCAATTGAGTTTCCAATCTCTCCTTTAGTTTTTCCAATTAAAAAATTTATCCATTCGCGCGGATGCGATGCCAATACCCGTGTCACGTACGTTATATTATAATTAAAACATTTTTCCACGCTGACCTGGGTCCGAAGCCGTGAGACTGCCTCTGGCCTCGCCTTCTCCCGCTGCCACGGCCAGGCTTGATGTTTGTCGCCTCGGCTAATTGCAGCAACTGGCTGCGATGCTGCCGCAACAGCGGGTCCTCCCTGCGATTCATTTTAACCGGTGCAAGTGGAATCCTGTCGTCCCTGCATCCTGCAATCAGAATAAACAGAGACGGTGATAATATTTCAGCGAAAAATTACAAACTGTCCGCGCCAACGAAAGCGTTCATAGAATGCTAGAGGTTCATCTCGTGGCTCTAAAAAGAACGCAAGAGGATCGCGAAACATTCCTGGCGTTAATTCGGAACGTATGAAATCTTCGCGTATTTCTTTACAAAATTCTAACGAAATATGCTCAGATCGGGAAGAAAATTGTATTGATGATCAATATTGGACCATTAGGTTACATATCTAAATTACTAATCTTTATGCCCTTGTTTATTGGGGATAATTTATGTAATACAAAACGGTTTTAATAAACAACTTTACAAAAAAAAAGAACATTGTGCTATTTTTAAATGAATTGTAGGACATCGATGATTTATAAATACAAGTCACCAGAATCCTGAGATGTGAAATAAAATAGAGGTCAAACTATAAAATGACACAATACGTGAGATGAAATTTGATCCGTGGCTCTACTCTTTCCTCCTGTCACGAGGATAATAACCGAAAACGTAAAATTCAGTGGAATATCTGACAGAAGAGAGGAAGAAATTAAAATACCACTGCGGCACGTTAATTCACTTTAATACACTATTTATGAGGCTGGCCATACACTCCTGTCAAATATCCTTGATTTTTATATCTCATAATACCGTAACGAGGTCACCGTGAAACGGAGATAACGCCCATAGAATCTTCAATACTTTTAGTGGTACGTTAATTTTTAATTGTTTGATTTCTTACTGTAGCTTCGGACGAGTTAGCTACCGTTCGACCGGGAAGAATTCTTCAAGCTCATTATTTTTGTTTTATATTAGAGTAAAGTCGTGGGGAACAACGAGAAACTTGGAAACTTTCGTGAACGTATAATTAATTCGGTGGTGCAGAAATTGCTTTTGCTTCTTTGTTAAAAAAGATATTAATTATTCATGAAGTTCAGCGATAATGAAAAAAAGTGAGTGCGTGGAATGCTGCGGCGTTACAAGTGTAACTTCTTAGACTCAACGGTGAAATTTTATTAATTCCTCTCAGATATTTGGAAAACGTCACAACTCTAATATATCATTTTCAGAATACCTTTTAGTAACTGAAAGTTGGTTAAAGAGCGTGGAAATTTAACGCAAACGTTAAATCGGTCTGACGTCGTATAAGAAGTTACACTTCAAAACGCAATTAGTTTGATCAGAGTTCGTGCGTTCTGAATGGGAACACGTTTGGAAAATAGAAGTCCATTGATAGCGGGAAAATGATTTTCAATATGACATTCCCGTGAACGTTATGCCTTTATAGTGTTTCATTCCTAAAGCTATATTGGATCGTAATTATTGGACTGTGAATTGTTCCCCGGGGATCGTGTCGGATCAGGAAAATAATATACTACTGACACTGCGCCATGCTTTTATTTCCCTTTGAAGTGAGAATGGTGAAAAGAGTCTTGGCAAAGAAGAACAAAAACGTGTATACTTTTTTTTTTCTTGTTTCGCGTTAATAACCTGCGGCATTGTTTCGGCATTGTGCCGACTCTATAAACCTTTTCTTTTTGTCCTTTCAATCGAGGCAATTTCTAACGGACACAAAGAAGGATGGACGTTTTTATTTTTTACTTGTAGCACTGTTCGAAAACGTCACTTAAAGGGGACCACCACGGATCAGGTCAGAGAAAGGTTTCGATACATGGGAATTTTTTCCACCAAAACAATTAATTCAATATAAATGTTTCATGCATATATTAAAAGTGCATGGTTTGAACGATATTTTTGTTAGTTTTCATAAGAAAATGTTGACTCGCGTTGAAAATAAAAATATTTTCATTCCACGTTACTGGAATATTTTTAAAACTCGAAGGTGGTGTTCACCTTTAAAAAGTATGCAAATATATAATCAATTTTACAGAGTGCACATATCGATTTAATATACTGCTCCTGCTAACTAATAGATATTTATATCGTCCCCTTAATGGCGAAAACTATCACTAATGTGAGTATTTAGTTTCAGGTGGTTGGTAATAATGTACCTCGTTACGATGTCAGATATCGATAAAAGTTTCCCGAGTTTAACCGTACGGGCAAACAGTTTACGGTAGAAATAATGTACTGACAAAAATTTAATATAAAATCTGGAACTATGTACAAAGGAATTTCCGCGAAATTCAACGTTGCACACGTGGAAATATTAAGGAAGTATTTCGAATATTAGGAAATTTGATTGTTTGTTCACCGAGAGTTTAATCCATCTCCCGTACACGATGTACATTATTAAGCGTATAATTTCATATATATTTTGAGTAATCTCGTAAATAATCTGCCCGAGCCGTCAGTTCGAGCAGAATACAATTTTCGTTTCAGCCGATGTCGAGCTTTTAAGCATTTGTACCATGCAATGTAACAGGTTTAGCTTTTCATGCGTTTTCCAGCTTTTCCAGCTTATACTATCGCGCGCAACGTTCAATTTTTCAGCTCCATTACACCGTTTATAAAATTTTTGCATGTTACAGATAAAAAGCGAGTTAAACGGAAGAGAAAATGTCGAACGAAGTATACTTTATCGCCTTGGGGACAAACACGCGACGACTTGTAAGATAAATGACTCGATATCTAATCTAAAATTAAAGTAGCTTACGACTTTTCAATAGCTTCACTTTTTAGAAGATCAACCCTGAGGTATCCCCTTTCGAATTTCTCTCGTGAACCGCTAGCTAGTTCGTTCCGTTTCCAATATTGACATACCAGGAATAGGGCGGAACAAACAAGAGCGACGAGGGACGGGTAATCAAATCCAACCCCTTTACGGGTGTCTTATCATATTTGCATTATAATATACATTGTCAGTGTTACGGGGGAGCTTCTTTGACGACGGTACTGAATATTCTGCATAAATTCTCGATCAAGTAGCTTAAAAACGCAACAATCAAAAGGCATTACTTGCTGACAGTAAATTTTATGAGGTAAAATGTAATCGCGTTTCGCGAGCTTCTGCTATTATTATTCACATTTTCAATTTTCAAGGGAATAGTGTAAACTATAAGACGTCGTTTATCTTTTGATTGAGGGGTGGTTTTTCGGTAAAATGCCAAAGTAGCAGGGGTAAAATGCAACGTAGCTTAGACCTGAGAATAATCTTTCGAAGAAGGATTGTCAATCTTCTACTAAGAAATAGCAACAATGCATCGTTTTCTGTAATCACGAAATGACAATGAAGCGATCAATCGTTTCGCAAAGTCGCATCGCGAGGATTCGTTTAATGCACGTTATCGTGTGCCATACGGTAGCACTTGGTGAACAAGTATTAAATCGGAAAGCGAATTCGTGCGGCTGGTCTCGCGGTGCAAACGAGTGGATTTCAGGCGCGTTCCTCAGTGTTCGTGCGCGGCTTAGCCACTCCATAAATTGCAAATTCTGATTGGGATTTACGAGTGGCGTGTATTGCAGACTTTCGAAACGAAAACTACGCGGACGAAGCCGGTACTTGGAGCCGTGTGATCGGGATTTATGGTTACTCGTCCAAGAAAAAAAAAAGTTCGGAAAAAAGCAAAGCGGTCAGGGATCGCCCTCGCCGACAATCCTCCCGCTCCCATATCGATCCTTGCTCGTTCGATGCTTTTTTTTGCAACCACAAGCTAACGCTATCAGCGTCAAGAACTCCTGAAAAAAAAAAAACACGTGCATTCTTTGTTGACCTTCGCGCGACTGTTGCGCCCATGCGAAGCAAGAACGTTATTTGCAATGGATCGAAAATTGTTTTGATGTCAAACGATGTACTTTGATTCTCATCTTTCTATGATTTTATGCGAATCGATTAATCAAGAAGCTGATTTCAGTCGAGATTCTTACGTAACTTTTTCTGCGAATTATGCAAACGCGAAATGCAGTGAAACGGGTGAATGGTAGGCGGCATGAAAATTGTGCTAGACGGAAACGGAACTAATTTTATTTACAGATGATTCTGCTTAACGAGTGTTGTTCTACGAATTTATGCACAGTTTGATGCGCTTTACGAGAATACCGTTGTAATCGTGGTGCAGAAAGAACAAAACAGATTCAACAGCTCTTTGGGAATACTAACTGCAGCCAGAAATTATTTGCCTGCGGTGCAATTAGTGACAGAAAATTATTGAAGATATCTGTCTGCAGATACGAAAATAAATTTTAATTTATAACCGATGAGGATACAAAATTCTTCTTTGAATATTTCAATATGCTCTACATTCAAACAAGGTTTCAGAGTTTACAGGTTCGAAAGCGTCCATTGTTAAATGAATTTTTTTCATCCCTCCTTTTAACATCCCTCTTTCATCTTTCTTGTTTATTCCGTACAATTTTCAAGCTTCTACGGAATAAATACGTCGATAAAGTTGATTATTTACTTGAAACGTGATGGATTTCTGCGCCTGGAAACATTGTTCCTCTCGACTCACTTGTAAAACAAAGTGCCTTCTACAGGCGCTGTAATTCTCGCTAAGCCCCGACGACTCGAAGTACTACTTTTCATTGTAAAAGGAACAACTGTGTCTTTAGAAAACACTGACGCACAAGGGGGAACAAGTACACCCTGAATTGTTTTTTAACCATGAAGACTAAACTGCGGATTTTATGCATTGCGATATATACGAATAAAATAAAATATTAATAACATCACATAAATCCATGAAATATATATTTAAATATACGTATCCCTTTTCCACAATATTATACTCCATAAATGCATAAAATCCGCAGTCCAGCGTAACGTACAAACTGATATCTATGCAACTCGTGCAAACAGTGATTATTTTTAGCAGTACATAATTTTTTAGTACACGCATACTAAACTGCACCTCCATGGTGTGGTAATTCGAGAGTGACTCGTGATATCATTTCACATGCATGGCCACCATCTTTTCTACGACGGTGGTGGTTGACGAGGTATAAAAGGTATAAAAGGCTCGAATAAAGAGGGAGCTTTGGCGTTCGGTACGATCCCTTCGCAATAGAGCTGGGTATGCGCGTG